TCAAACATCTTAGGCATAACATGGAACAGGTATTTTTCATCAAGTATTGATATGTTGAACTTTAAGTCCCTACAGAATATAAAACATTAAAAATTTGAAATATATTTTAAAAATAGGCATAAAGAATTATATAATTCTTATGTTTACATGTAAGTCCAGAAATCTAATCTTATACAAGCTTGAAGCAGGACAGTCCCACAACATTCCTTTTCCTGTCTCCTGCCTTCATTCACCGTCCCCTTCTGTTTGAACAATCATCTACCCAAGAGACAGCACAGCACCAAAATATATTTGGAAAGTATATTTAAATAACATTGGCTTCCTTTTCCTGAAATCTGACTTGCCTGAAATAAAAAAATTTTAGTGAATTATGCTTGTTTTTCCCACAAATCTTTACTGATGGCCTACTCATACAATAGGTATTATCAGCACAGAATTTATTCAGAGTTTTAAAACTCATTTGATTTTGGCACAATTTAGATAGACCTGAAACTATCATACCTAGTCTCCATTTTATAAATACTACAGTTATTCTTAGTAATCTGATCTTTGACCTATGTATAAACAAAAATTATATTTAAGTTTAAAATCCGTATCAAATATTAAACTTTTTTACTGTTGGTTACTACTGGTCGTAATACTAAATATTTGAAAAAACATATATACTTATCAATAAGAGATTTGTTAAAGATGGTAACTTTGTATAATGATGTAATGCACTGTTTCAAAAATCCAGTACATCTGTAGTTTTGATATGAAAAGAATATCAAAGATATCCTGCTTCATAAAAAGAAGTTTCTATAGAGTGTATAGCATGCTATACTTAATGTAAAATCACATAAGCATATATAAGTTTATGCTACATGTATTAATTGGAATGTGATGGCTGTAAAGCGACTGCAAATAATATATTTTATATGTCAATATAATAATCTCATTCTATTTTCAGCAGAATATGAATTTGGGGGCAACACTGCCCTGCCCCTCCTTACAGCTCACCAATGGCTATGGAAATAATTTCCCTGATTCTATTCTTATTAAATGTCAATTGTTGGAGTGACATTTATTAATAGTAATGTTACTTATAAGTACTTTACATTTATAGGTGACTCATAAATTTCAAAGTGCTTTGAGTTCATGTGATCTACAGCACGATGTTGAAATATAAAGAAGGCAGTTATCATTCTGTCCAATTTAGAGTTGAAGCTAAGTGAAGCATACATTGTGCCATTTAGTGCCTCTTATAACCAAAATTCCCCATTTGTATATTGGAGAGGAAAATATAAAAGTTGTAGGCAGGAGACTACCTGCCTACAAAAAAAAAAAGTTGTAGAAGAGTTGAGTTTTAAATTAATGGTTTTGGCTGCTTTGAGCTCACATTCATTCACTGAGCCAAGGCTCCTGGGCCAATGTGAGTGGATTCAAAATGAATAGTCAGCTTAATCATGATTCCTGTTTGACACTTCACACATACACTTTAACCCTTACACCCAGAATGGAAAAAGTTGAACTTACAACTATCCCAACAAGTCTAGAGAGGGTGTATTGGCATGGATCCTCATGGAATTACAGCTTCATGTTTAAGCCTGCAAATTTCTAAGAAATGTAGAACATTTATGATGCTAAACCCATAACTGCAGCAGTACATATGGATTCTGACCACTAGTGCAGAGACAAATCTGTCAGCAACTCACATAATTATGTATAGCATTTTTCAGATTAGCTAAAACACATCTTCCAAGAAGAGTGAAGCTCATTTTGTTCCTTTTAGACTCTCGTATGACACTCACAGTAATTATTTGGGAAAGGAGACAGAGAACCGTCAATTCCACACCTCAACAACATAATACACGGGCCAAGATAGCTCAGTACAATAAGCACTTGCCTGGCAAGCTCAAAGGCCTGAGTTCAATCCCTGGGTCTGGCAAAAAACAAACAAACAAACAAACAAACAAACAACAAAAAAAAAACAGATTTTTTTTTTTTGAAACAGACTTTAGTTTTTTTTTGTGGTGCTGGGATTTTTTTTAATGAGAAACAAATATCAATGAGACACTTTCCAAGCTGGTTAATAGGACATTTTCAATAATTAATACATTGCACATTGTTATCTTCTCAGCCGTCATCCACAGCAGAAGCAGCAGCCAGGACATCCCGTCCAAACACTACTACTACAAATCCTTCCTCTCACTGAACCAAGCGAAAGCACCTGTATATCTTACCTAACTATTCTGTATATACAAATACAAAATGGTCCTTCCTCTGTATCCCCCCTCTCCAGTCCAGTCCTGTCAGAGATGGGTATTCTATTGGCCTCTAAATATTATAGGTGCTTGAACTCAGCAAAATAAACCAAGAGAGTCCAGCAGTCCACAATATTAGGGAGTTGTCCGCAGAAGTTGT